AGCAGGGAATCCGGAAGCTGCTGAAAAGGTTCAAGACATGAAATGAATGAGATCTGATCTTGCGGATAGAAACTGCCAACATTCAATCATTTTCACGGTGCATAGGAAATTTACTAAGGTACTACAATAAATAAGTTAGTATTTTTCTTCCCATAATGCGTCAGTAGATTATGGCGTCATCTTTGTCTAGGCCCCTATTTGCTAAAGATTCTAGTGCATTTTCCTTTTTGGATTCTGGAGTTACCTGGAAGTTTACCCTGAGACTTGGCTAGGAGATCAGAGTGGATTAGTTAATGAATTAAAGAACACATGTGATTCAACTCTCTTGTAATGCTTCTTAATTTCTTGAATGCGTTATATGCAGATGTACATCATTTCTCTGGGTTCAGCCTGACACAGCTCAGCCTGATTTGTGTCATAAGTAAGTCTCATGCAGAGATATTGAAGGAACTCCACAAAATTGATTCTCAGAGGTGAGTGAGTGACATTTGCCATCCACTGCATTCTAGTTAATATTTTTAGATAATGTCACTTCACAGCAGATGAATTTCCTATAGTTTTTTTTCATTTTTTCTAAGGAGTCTTTAATATTTTAAGAAAATTTATTTTTATATGCACTTTAAGTGAGTGTCTTTTCTTTAGATGTGCAATCGATTGTTCAAGTTTTTCCTTTGTTCTATTCTGACTGACTTCTTCATCATAATTCAGACATCATCCACATGAGCACCCTCCTGTCTATCTGGATATACAATAAAATTGTTCTCATTCTACTTCCATCCCTGTTGTACCAGTGCTTTTATCTTGTGTTGGGAGAGGCATAGCTTCCCGTGGGATCCAATCATCAAGAGTGGTGGGGTTTTTAAAGCTCTACTTGGAAGTTCCCTATCTGATCTGAATACGGTGGGATTAGACATTGGTTACAATTTTCTAGGATTAATTTACATTAAAAATTAAGAACTAGGTCTCTCTTTGGATAGTGATTGATATTACTTTATAAGCCTTATTCAAGACTTTTCCCCCTACTATAGGTGCTCTATGATAAAGATAACAATTTTTGTGACTTTATAATAAAATATTTCTATATTATTGTATTCATCAAAAAAAGCTTTGATTACCTTTCTTTCTCCATGATTTGTAACTTATAAGACTGATGCCAACCAAAATACAAAGCTCAAGCACTCTTCTGCTCAGGCACCATTCCATTCAGCCGCAGCCCATTATTTCTAAAAATGCCCTTCTTGATATTTATCATATACTCTCCATTTTCCACATGAAAAAACCTGAAACACCTGCATTTACATGGAAATCCAAGCATTGGTGCTTTATTTGGCAAACCACTAGTATTGTAAGTCTCATTTTAAATTTCGTCTACTCCACAACACCTTAGTTTAATCTTCCTAATGGAATTTTTCTGACCACCTGGAGCCCTGGGTAATATCTCCAACTGATCTGAGATTGTAAAATACTCTGAGCCTGGGAAATTGCTTCATTCATATTTTCAACTTTATGTTTTTATAGCCAATAATGCAATGCTTTAATATTATAGTTCTTTCTGTTGAATACAACCAGATTGATTCATATGTACACGTTTTGTTTCTTATTTCCATGGAAGTCTTCTTAAAGTAAGAGTCAAGTTGTCAATATAATATATTCTCCAAGGTAACTTCAAAAAGTCTTATATGACTCAGTTTTTCTAAAAGAATCTTTAACTCCTAGATTTAAAAAGAATGATATTTTTCATCATGTGATTTTTCTGATGTTTAGATTACTTAATTTATGAGTTTTTCAAGTAGAGTCTGAAACAAACTAGTACAATATAATGAAAGCTCATTTTATTATTTTATCAATGTACTGTGCTTCCTGTATTATCTGCAAAGAAGGATGTTTGTGGATAGTTTACATACTTCAGAGATATAAAGATCCTGTCCTACATATTCTCGTTCATTTCCAGTGCAATTTCTCGGTTACTGTGCAGTGTTTTAATAAAATCTTTTCATATTTCAAGCTCAAGATGATATGTCATGGCACTGTTATACCTTCCTTGTTCTCAGTCATATCTTAGAGTCTTGGTCTTGCTGCTTCACCTCAGTTGCTAGCATGTGGCTGACAGTGTGGATTGGGGTCATGTAGATGCATTGTTTTTGACAATAAGATGTTGCTAGATTGTCACTGAACAGAGAATCTTTCTCTTAACTCTCAGTGCCACTGAGTTATTTCTGACTCATAGTGACTTAATAGGACCAAGTAGAACTGTCCCTGTGGGTTTCCAAGACTGGAAAACTTCACTGGAGTAGAAAGCTTCATATTTCTCCAGCAGCTGGTGGTTTCAAACTGCTGACCTTGAAATTAGTAGCCCAGTGGTAATCCACAATGCTACCAAGGCTCCTGAACAAAGACTAGAAGGAAACAAAAAATTATTTTGATCACTGACAGGTGTCTGCTTATAGATTGGTTACACAAATCTCTAAAATTTGTCATTTAATATTACTATTTTATTGTCATTTTTAATTAAACAGTTCCAAATTCTCTATAACTTGCTGATTGAAAGCATGCAAAAAATAGTTGGCAGATTTTCCACATTGGTCATTACTGTAGAAACTTTTGGCTACCTAGAATGTCGTGTTTATGGGAAAGTAAAGTCATCAAATCTAGAATCATCTTTTAAGTTAGAGTCTAAAGGGTCTTTGTTAAATAGACATGGAAGATTTGTTCAAGTGCCTCCAGTAACAAGAAACTACTTACTGGCACATGAACAAGGAAATCTCTGATTCTATTGGAATTTTAATAAAAGTCCTCCTCATTTTTTTGCAATTTTTATTTTTGAGTCCACATGCAAAATAGTTTCTGGTAAAGTAAATTCCAGTGCTTTCCTCAAAAATTTTAATGGCATTTGAATTGGGATACTATAGACTTGATAATTCTATATATTTTTTAAGAAATGAGGAACAATAGTAATATTGTTCAAATTGCTGGGTATAAAACCAGCCATCTCATGAGCAGGAAGAGGGTTTCACTACTAGCAAATGGAAAGTTTCTTGTTAGGAGTGGAGCATCTTCTTTGGACCTTGACGTCCTTCTTCATTGAAACTCCTTGATCCAGGAAACAGCTGTGACACTAGAGGAGTGGCAGAGAAGCTGCATCAAAACCAGGACCAAGGGAATGAGACAGACTTCCCAGCCCACGGAGCAAGGAAAACTGAGTGCTTTGAGGTGGGAGGCTACCTTTTAGGGATGAATGCCTTTGGAGACTTAGAGGAGCTGAGTTTTCTGATCCATGGAATCGGAGCCAAGCTGAAGCCGAGTGCATTTTGGTTGCAGCTTATAGTGAAATGGCAAGTCCTTTGGATATTTATTAGCAGCCCCAAAAGAGCTTTATAATGTTGCGCAAGTAGGTCAGAGATCAGACCAAGAAGCTGATGGCTAGAGAGAGACTTGTCTGTAGTCATGGCAGAGAAGAAACGGTCGTGGTTAAACAACTGTATCCTGAGCATTTTTTTTTTTACCTCAGCTGTAATGTGCTAACTTCCCAAATAAATCCCATAATCTTGAGCATTGTCTGTGGGTTCTGTGTGGCCATTGTAATGGATTATTGGACACAGACATAGAAGTAGAGTGCTTTGGGAGGGGCATTTAATGTCAGAATTGGATTTAAAGGGCTAGAGGGTGAAGACATGTCTGATATTCACCTTGTGGAAAAGTTGCCTTGGGAGCCAGAGGTTAGATGTGGCCCCAATCTGTTTCCTTAGCAACATATAATTAAATCTGATTTTAAAATTCAGAATTGAAATTTTTGCATAGAAAAATGTTGTGGTTGCTTGGGTGAAAGCTGTTTTCTACATTTAGTGGGGTTATTTGTAATTAACATTATCATCTTATGATTATCCTAAAAATGAAATCTTGACTTACTTGAGTCTAACTACCATTACATGTTTTAAATGAGTGTTCATAATTTTGTACCATTAATTTAAGTGACATATATTTCCCTTGTGGGAATATTTCTGAAAATAACAACTAAGGACCAGATAAATTATAAAGTACTCATTTTAGTAGTAATTTAAAAATAATGTAGCTAATATGTAAGGTTAAGTCAGTTTCATTAGTCTAATAATATTGCCTTCTTAAAGAGCCTGTTAGACACGCCCTACCTGATCCCAAGTGATTCTACTTTGCATTACAACAAGTCTCAGTTCATGCAATTCTCAGATACCTCAAAAAGAGCATTAGTGTTTTTATTTTATCTGGATTTAAATGGAGAAATCTCTCTTCTTACAGTGGAAGTGTGTGTATATCTGCAGGGAGAAAGAAGCCCAAGAGAGAAAGATCCCTAAACCAGCCCTTCCTCTTGCCAGCCACAAGAGAGGAGCTATTATGGAGATAGCGTGTTCATAAAGTCTTTCAGGGGCTCTAGGCACAAGCACCTGACAGTGAGTCGTTGAAGAGCCACACACTGACCGGTCGAGGCCATTGTTCGCCGCTGACTTTCTCTGCAGGTATAACTGGGAACAGAACATTGGAAAGCCAAACACAAGTAACCGCTTTAGTTTGGGCCATGACTTCATTCATCTTTTATTTCAGAGAATGTCACTGTACCCTCTAGATTTTGGTTTGTCAGGGCTCTGAAGATCACTGATGTCTGAGAAAAGTGAACACATTAAAAGGTGTGTCAGCTGAGCTGAGCTCATGTAAGGATATATTAGGTCTATTTCTGGCAGGGGTGTTGACTGGAGAGGAAATGCTGTCTTTGGACATTATAAGCATGCTCAAAGTGTCAGGCTTTCTCTCCAAGGAGAGAAAAATAAGGAAGATGTCGTACTTGATCTGAAGAGGTCATTTGATCCTCTGTGAAGACAAGACTAATAACTACAGCTCCAATCAGAGAAGTGTCCAAAGGAACCCACAGAATTCTAAGTGTGCCCACATAAGACAGACAACTTTCAGATTGGGAGGTTAGGGTTAGGAAGATTTTCCCTTAAATAAATGAAGATAATTGTAGAATTAAAGCTATAGAGTTGGTTGGTTGAAGTGAAGTAGCAGCCCTGCATTAGGGTTACTCTAAATCATTTGTTAGGATAATAATATTACTGAGTGTAGGTCAATCATTCTCACAGTGTTCACTCTTGAAGAGCAGCATTAGCATCACCTGGGAAGTGGGGACCCTAGACCTATAAAATAGAAAACTCTGGGGCTTCAGCCCAACAAGCTGTCATTTAACAACTTCCGTAGATGATTCTGGTGCATACTTAAGGTTGTGAACTGCTGGGCTTGAGACATTCATACTATACATTAGAGAAATCTAAACAACTCCCAGTCCTTGATAGGTAGGTTTTCTCCTCTGTGTTTTAGGTGCTAGAAATGTCCCCAAAGAAGAATAAATATATATCAGTAAGAGATGATGTATTCTCAGTTTCTGAGTGAAACACAGTAGAATCTGGCAACTTCTTCACTTGTTACTAAAGGAACTGAAGCTACTGTCTGTGAAGATCATATCTTAAGGCATGTTTAGGTTTTCCTTGAGTTCTTACTTTGTGGTGGAAACCATATTTCCTCATCCTTCTCCTTTTACCAGGAATTGCAGAGTATTTGGTTAGCAATTACTTACCAAACACACACACGAGTGTGCACTCGAGAACACACACACAATATTGCATGGATATTTTGTACTTATTTTTCTCACCACCAATTTGTTTGATTTATTTTTTCATCCTCACATGTTATTTTTTCCACTGATGCTTTTTTAAGGCTTCTGCTGAATGTTGAGCAAGCATGATGCTGGTATAAGATAGAACATGGGATGAAGATGCTAAGTAATACAGGAAAAGATCGAAACACATTATGATGCTTTGAACAATCTATCAGTCATGCTTATCTGAACTGTACTTATTGATTATTATGTTGGGGGTGCAGGGGTCCCCAACACTCAAACAGTTCCTCAGGAGCAACTTTGCAACTGTGGAAAGTAATAATGACAGACAGACACCGGGGCCAGGGGCTCCTCCTCCAGTGTCAGGACTGAGAGAGTAGATGTATTTTCTAAGAGGTATATATAATGGAGCTTACAGATCTTTCAAAAGGCATGCACATCATATAGCCAACATATAACATAATCAATCGGTAATGTTATAATCGGGTAACATAAACCAGCAATGAGGTGAGTCATCATCTTGACCTAGTACTAGTTGACCTCAAAAGCCCCTGAGCGCTTCCCCTCCCCCCACCAAGTGGCTTGCTTCATTTTACGGTGGTTTGGCTACAGAACCTAATTGCTCTTATCTACAAATAATCTCCAGACCCAGAGAATACCCAGACAGAAATGATTCATATTATATGGTAGCTCCTATATGACAGTTCCTTTATTGCATGTGTGTGGGATGTTTTGGAGGGACTGTGTACTGTCATGAGAATGTATATTAAGATGTACCCCCCACAAAATAACTGGAATTTACTTTTCAAAGTTATGTATTTAAGTTTTTGGAACAAAACAACTTTTTTACCTTCCAAGTGCTCTCCATTACACTTAATATATCTGTCAAATCTGCAATTCCATTCTTAGAAACAGTTTTTAAACTTATCTGTTGGGATGGATGATAGAACCTCCCTCCCTCATTCTTTCCTTCACCTCTTCTATGTCATCAAATCTCTGTCATTTCATGTGCTTCTTCATTCACAGAAACAAGAAGAAGTTGCACAGAGCAAGGTCAGGTGAGTAAAGTGCACGAGGCAAGAGAGTCATGCTGCTTTTTCTGTTTTTGTTTTTTTTGCCAGAAACTGGTGCAGTGAGATGGCTGCATGAGCAGATGCATTGTCATGGCTGCAAAACCAGTCCCCCAGTTTGCCACAAATCAGGCCTTAAAGAGAAAGCTTGATTAACAGTGTGGACTAGTGCAATGAACTCCAAATACACTATCCCCCTCATATAAAAACAACAAGTGAGCATTGTCTTGATCTTTGATTTTACTTGAGGAGCTTCTTTTGGGCAAAGTGACGATGGTGTCTACCACTGGCTTGATTGATGCTTGCTTTTGGGATTGTAGGAATAGTACCATGTCTAGTCACCAGTAATGACCTTGGGGAAAAAAACCAAATGTCTGGGCTGCTTCAGGGGTGTTCTTTCAAAGCATAGCATGTTTCCACTCGAAACTCTTTTTCCTGGTCGGTCAGAACTGGAGGCACAAATTGCACAGTGACCCTTCTCATTCCCCCAAATCTTCCACTAAAATACGCTTAACAGAGCTCCAAGATAGTCCAGATAGCTTTCCCATCTCTTTCCCATCTCAATGGTCCATTGTTGGTCTTCAAGCACAGGCGCATGAATTTTGGCAACATTTTCATCTTTTGGGAAGTTGATGGACATCCAGAATGAGGTTTATCATCAATCGGCATTTCTCCTTTTTGAAAAGAGAAAATCACTCATATGCTTGAGTTTTTTTTCCAGAGCGCTGTCTTTGTAAGCTATGCTCAACATCACAGCAGTTTCCCCGAACAGGAAACAAAATTTCACAGCTGCACACTGTTCTCTTAAATTGGCCATCACAAAAACCAAGGTCGAGTGAAACTGCTTTTACGAAAAAAATTCACTGTTTCCCTAGAGAACCTTCCCAGGCGACGCTACTGGGTGCAGTAACTTAGAGCAGTAAGTCAACTTTCCATTATTTTGTTGTTGTTTTGAATAGTGCCTCATATATTATATTTTGACGTACCTGTTATTTTCCTCTTTCCTGTGATAAAAAATGATAAGACTCCATTTTGACTAGTCTTTATATAAAAGAGTAAGGAACAACAATGGGTATAGGAAAGTTTTATTAACATTTTATTATCAGCATATTCAGATTATCTGAGAAGCA